AGTGAATATAAGTGGAATAATAATAATAATAATAATAACACAATATATTTTTGTTTGTTCTTCCACAAAGCTTGTTTTCACCAAAGCACATTATTCTTCCATGCAGGATAGATCAGCGACAACAGAATCATCAGAAAACCATGGTTTTCTCAAACTAATTTGGTTTCTCAAACAGTCCATAGAGTGACAGATCACATTGCCTCTAAAAATTGCCTTTATTGTGTGATGTGCATCATGTGACTCAGCAATGCAATAAGCATGAATTGAAAAATTGAATACACTGATCTGCTTTATGCTTTCAACTATAATGCACACACCCAGGTCTCAAGTCCTGACCTGATGTGGTGGAGAACTATTTATGAGAAATATTTACTGTCAATGCTTTGGTTTTTTTTACCATGTTAATGCTGAAGTAATGTAATGCAACATTAGTTTTCAAAAGTTTTTTCTTTCCTCTGAATCAGTCTGTCTCTTGGGTGAAATAAATTTGATCATATATATCGGGGAACAGCTGGCTGCAGGAGGTGCCTGGCTGCAGGAGGTGCCTGGCTGCAGGAGGTGCCTGGCTGCAGGAGGTGCCTGACTGCCTGTGGGCAAAGGGAAAAATGACACTGGGAGAGTAATTTCTGCCGAACCTTCAGTGCTGCACCCCAAGTCTGACTTCTGGCTCCATAAAGTCCAGTATCCATTACCTAAAGAGGCTAAGGAAGGGATTAGAGAACTACATGCAGATTTAGTGAGGGGGGGTCATTAAAGAAATAGTCTACTCCCCTGCCAATTCTCCCATTTTGCCAGAAAAAAAAAGGTGAATGGTATTTGGAGGTTTGTTCAAGACCTGTAGGGTCTTGAACAAACCTAACCCAGTGTGCATGGACAGGAATTGGCAAAAACTCCAGAAGGGTTCTGTGCACCGGGAGAAAGTGCATTGGTGTAGTTTGTGCTCCCATTTTGTGCTCCTGTAAGCAAGACACCAAAGCTTTATTAGACATGTGCTGATAAGTGAGTGATGGTCTCTAGGACCGGAACAAGTGGCCTCTACACAAGTGATGCACAAGCCAGATACAAAATGGTAATTGCATGCACTCCTGAGTATGACTGGCTATTGTAGGCCCTGAATTAAAGATCTCAGCCTTCAGTGGACCTGACAATTGGACTGGTACTGACAGATAGACTGACTTGGATGTCTGAGGCAGAAGACACTTTGACTGACTTAAAACTGGTCTTAATGACAGCCCCAGCTTTGGGGGTTCCTGATTATAAAAAGTCCCTTGCACAGTGTGTGGCCGAAGGAAACGTTTCATGACTTCCATTTTGACTCAGTATTATGGGGGAAGGTGCCAAACTGTCGGGTACTTTTTAAAGCTATTCAGCTCAGTGACCTCGCTGCCAGAGAGCTGTGGCTGCAGCAGCTGAAGCAGGGATGGCAAATGCAGACTTTGTGCAATTATGTTATGCAAATATTGCCCACTGATGCTTCAAGTTCCTCATATGGTGCACATGATGATGACGCAGGCTGGGACATCTCAGCTGACTCCTGCACGCTCTGTGCACTAACGAAATGTGTTGCTAATACTGGCCAGTGTGACGTTAGAGAGGTGTTCTACTCTGAACCACGCTACAGTGCTCCGCACCGAATAGGATGGGGAGTCCCGCATCTGCCGGCGGGTGATAGATTCTGTGAGTAGGCCCTGCCCAGATCAGATGTTCCCCTGGAGGGGGGGTTTAATTTTATTTGAAGATGTGTGATCCCTGAGATTGGAGGGCGGATCACCGGCCACCACTTACGCAGTGGTGCACTGGGATGGATCAGTAGTGGATGAAGGGCGATTATCCAGGTGTTGGTCCATCCTGGCGGCTCAGCTGTTTGTAAACTGGCAGAGGGCCAGAAAGTAACTGTATACACTGATTCAATATATGCTTTTGAGGTGTGTCATTACTATGGCACCCTGTGGAAGCAGAGAGGTTTTCTGACAGGCTCCAGAAAAGCCCTTTTCATCATCATCAGCTAGTGAAGCCATTATTGGAAGCTATTATGCTGACGTGAGATACTTTGGAAGTAACTGATCTAATCTCCATAGGTCTGCATATCCAGGAGTGTCAAAGTCTGTCCATGGCCTGGATCACGTGTCACCCGAGTGCGGCATGCACCCAGAATCACCAGAGAGGCTGCTTGCTCCAGCAGAAATTGTGTTCTTTGCATGACGTATAATGTGGGAAGTAGTGTTCCACAATAGCAGTAGTTTAGTTATTAATATATTGTTTCAAAACGTCGGAACGCATTTACATATGTACTAATGTAGCTCATGTTTGGACAATTAACACATGAGAAATTAACTCATGAGAAAAACATTTGAAACAAAATTGTGGTGGCCACCTACGTCACTTTATGGGTTGACCAGCACTAACAGGAAGCTTAGCAGTTATGTTTAAACACAGACAGCAGCAGTGTGTAGCTAGGATCTTGAGGTATCCGGGGCTTAGCCCAGAGACCTAATATGGCTGAGGATTCTCAAACTGAGAGCATGGTTGTTAAAACATCTGAGCTTAAGAAATCATTTGGGGGTGGTTTGGATTCATCCCCGAATGCCCCAGGCACCTGACTTGTCTGGACAAGAGGACCTCTTGTGCAAAACATACAAAGGCCCTTGCGTGTGTTCAGAGATTTTGGTAGAATTTTAGAGTAGCCATAGAAGTCAATGAGTGTGTAATGTGGCAACTTTCTGTAAGGGAAATGTGTTAGTGCCAGCAACCATATCTCCTTGCTTGCATGCAAATCTTAATTGCTAATAGACAATTTGATTGATTAGGGTAAACCCGAAATCAATTGCTTTCAGGTGAAAGCATTCAGTCCAAAATCACTGACTCCAAGTTGCACAGTTTGGAATTAACCAATCTGCTGATACACAAATCAGTACAAAATCAGCACATAAAAGTGGCTGTTGGACTTATAGGTTTAAGTGAAGATGGAAAATTTTAAGGAGGGAAAATCTTTAATCCCACAGAGGATTTGGATGCAAAAACAACAGGGGGTTTGGTTGAATCCTGAAGGAGCCAGTGGGTGAGGACTGTGAAGAACACTTTTCTCCCATGACATTTTAGCTGTTATTGTTGACCCTAAAGGCAGTGGCGGAGCTAGACTTTTATTTAAGCGGGGGCCAAAGGGTGAGCAAGGGTTTCTCAGAGGGGTCCATATAAATATGATAACTGAAGGAAAAAAAATTCTCATACACACTCATAATAAACAATGAGTTTGCAAATGTTTGTTGAACAAATATGGGAAAATATCCCCTTCTCTTCATTCTGTCGCTATATAAAATAAGACGGCCTGGTGGTTACACTTCATCATGATTGTTTGGCAGAAACACTATAAGAAACACTATTTTAACTAGTTTTCTTTTTATTTCATATAGCTAGATATTACTAAATGAAAATAGATTAATTAATGAATTAATTAATGAATCTTGCCAGCTAATTAAACCCTCACATTACAGTAGTCAGTAGGCTATAGTGAAGTTGATTCAAAGCTTTTAATGACATGCATAGCCTGCTTCCATGTAGTGGAAAACTGGTTCTCTACATATACACTTACCACACAGACCTCAAGCAAAGGCTAGCTTTGCTAAAATAATAGAACAACACTATAATTCAGCATGTGCACTAAAACATACACACGTAGACGCTGTCTAAAAGACGATCTATATCAGCACGAGCAGGGCTCGTGGCTAATTTAAACGAGACGTGAAGCAGACAGTGCGCAACGCTTTCATGCTGCTATTTTTTATGTACTGCAAGTGTGACCACCTCTCATTAGGAAGGTAACACATGCAGTGTAATATGTTGCAAATACCTGCTTAACTCGTGCTGTTATCAATACCGCGGGTGAGTTTTGGATCATGTAGGAACGCGTGCCACTGCCAGAGCTTTTAGCCAATGACATGTCAGTAAGCATCACGCACAGGGTACTGCTGCCTGCAGGGGCACTCGGAAATTACAGTTTTCCGCTCAAATCTTTTAATGTTTATCATTTCCAGCGGGGTGGCACTGGGGGCGGCAAAGGCTCTGTTGGGGGTGGCGATTGCCACTCCTGCCACCCCTTTGGCTCCGCCCCTGCCTAAAGGGTGCAGAATAAAATTAATTTGCTCCAGGAGCCCAAGAAAAGTGGCTTGATCCTGCGCTTGAACCCCAAGCTCAAAGGAAGATGAGATGGTGTCAGGATCGGGCTGTCTTGTCAACAGCTGTGGACCGACATACTGCATGAGAGGATACAACGGCTGTACAAATCCCTTCCGCATGAATCCATTATACACATTATTATACATTATGCCACACCCTACCAACATGGGAGCAGCAGTGTGCCCATACTGCCAACTCTGTTGTCAACTTGATCTGATATTATAATCATTGCGATACTGTATAGTCACATGACCTTTCACCACGTGCAGATTCATTTCATTTCCACCAATAAGCCATCTGGGTTTTTAACTTTTTATACTCAAATAGTTATACTCAAATAGTTAGTTAATCAAGCAGTCTGCTTACATTGTTCAGTTTAGGTATTTTTAAACATGACAAAATGTGGAAAACATTTAAACTGTGATAATTTTAATTTTATAATATAATAAATCATAATTTTATTTTATTAGGTCGTCTGCTTCTGGTTATAGCTACCTGAGGCTAATGCCGCGTGCGCAGAAAACATAATTGGAAAAAGTAAGTCATTTTCTCTCTATAACAAATATAGACTCATCAAAGCTTACGATACACCGCCAAAAAGGAGCCACTGAAATCCAGCAGCGAAACTACAATAAGCGCTTTGAGACAATGTAATATTGAAAGTGTACTGTAAATTGAATTGAATTGAATATTTATATACAGTGTTGTATTATAGCGTATTTGACTTATACATAGTTCAGTCATTTGTACAGTACTGTAATATAAAAAGCGTTCCTTTCATCCTGAAAGTATAGCGTTCGTGACGTCACGGCCTAGCCCACTTATTACGGTTTCTAAATCGCAACAAGTGTTTTCACTGCCGGGTAAAGAAGGCAAACCAGGCAATGAGTAGCACACCTTCTAACTCAGGTGCTTGCTTGCATGGTGGAAATATGGTTTTTATTTTAAGAAACAGATTTGTGTCACTTTGTATATTACACAGTAAGTAATCTTTCTCGAATTTGCGTGACTGACCAGATTGATACTCTCTATTTGCTGTGCTCGTTAATTAAAACGCGTCTGTGTTTGAATTCTATTTTATTAACGAATAGAACTATAAAACTGGGTAGCTTGCACTATTTTGATAAACTTACGAAAAATATTATTCTCGCCGAAAAAAATGTTATTCCTATTATGGTAACACTTGACGGGCATAATGTAGTATCATGCTATTACTTGTGTATTATTTAACCGCAAACTAAGTTTTATTATATACTGATGTTCTGTTAATTCATCGTTAATGAATCGTGATCGACGCTTGATTTGTCGCAACCAGATAGGCTACTATATTTGTTACTATATCTGTTGATTCGGTAAACGTTTGTGAACTACTGTACAAGTAATGAATAACACAAGTTGAATACTGATCTCATGTTTGTTCGTCATTAACGAATCGTGCACGTGGCGCATCTTTTATCTCAGGTAGCGACTATATTTGTTGATTCTTTGTTCATGATTTGTACTTTAGTAGTAACTGAGTAGGGTATTTGTGCCGTCAAATAAAGTGTTACCAATATTATAATTATAATATTATACCTGAACACCAGAAAGCAGACACTATCTCGTTTAACTGCGAAAATAGCATACATATGGCGTTTCACTTTATTGATCTCGAAACTAATATATATTATAATACGTATATTTTGAAGAGAATACAATTTCAGATTTCCATGTAACGTAAGGTGCTTGAATATAGACAGTTCCCCGTCTTAGCTGTCCATTGTGTATAATCTAAGTGCACAGCATTATTTTCCATGTAGGCCTATCAAAGTTTCTTCATCTGGGTCTGGGGTTACAAATTTAATTTTGCAAAGTACTTGAACCCCTCCAATGTGAGTCGTTCCCTTACATTACCTTGGCGCTATTCAAATCAAAGATTAATCTCGAACATCTTTTAAGGAATCTGGTGTTTTTGAAATACGTCCAGTTGGTTTAGCCAATTTTAACCGTAGCGTTGCAGGCAGAATGAGTGGAATTGCAGGGCTCAAAAGGAAACCACACTTCTAATCATCTAATGAGCATTGTCATTTCCGTTTGCTTCATTGAAAAGTCGTCTTTGTTAAACAGCGTTTCAGTTAACTCTGGAATGCCAGTCCCCATGTTGACACGGGAGAGTCCCCGACATAAGAGCGGCTTTAGACCAGTCAGCCTTGCAGAAATTTGTATTTTCTCAGCTGCATTGTTCATGCCAAGTCTGCACCTGCAAATTCATTGAAACATGCAGCTGAGTATTAAGCTCCTTTGCTTAATTGCGTTTTTCAACAGCATTCTTGTAGCCTACTGCCCATCCGTATCTTTAACCAGAATGTTACATGGTTTCATTAGGGAATGTTATAATACTTGTATCCTCTGGCATGACATATACTGAAACCATTCTCAAAATGATTGCTCTGAAATTCATTTTGGGAAAGCACTATAATGAAGTACAATAATAAACAAAAAGAAAGCAAAAAACAGAGGTGCTACAATCGAGTGATGAGCAGCACTCCTTGATGTTAGCGTAGCCTTTCTTTATTCTTGTTTCCCTGTCCTGCCTTGTGTTTGGACCCTTTATGGCCCCTTTTGTTTCTATAGTCTCATTGTAGTCCAGGTTTGATGAAATTCCCTCGTTGTCCGCAAGCCACCTAGTGGATCATCACTCCTCCTCTATGCTCCATTGTGACAAGAGGGCACAACATTACCAAAAAACTGTGAGATTATTGGTTACAGATCTTAATCACTAGCAGAAGATGCATATGTACAGGTCAGGTGTACAACAATTAAAAACCATGCTTTTTTTTTGGACTCTATGCAAAGAAGGTGAAGAGGCTCTAAATCGCAGAACCACACACTGCATTACAGTATTATTATTCTGTTTGTAAATGATGTTATGTGTGATACTGAAATGATTTTATTTTTCAGGTTTTGTTATACAGTATTCAGAGTCTTTTAATATCGGGACAGCAGGAGCAAAAATATTTAGTGGACCAGTGGAAGAGGAGTTTGGATATACTGTGCAACAGTTCAAAAATTATCAGGGCAAATGGTAAGAGAAATTCTTATCCTCCACTTTTCTGACACAGTTATTACTGCCTTTACTCTTTGTCAATAACTGTTTGTTGTGTTATTTTATGGTGCATGTTAGGGATGCACTGATCCAACTTTCTCAGTTCCAGTACCAATACCAGGGCTATGGGTTTTGGCCAATCCCGAGTACCTACAGTATCTGATACCAGTGATTAATTAATAAGGTGTATGTCTCACTGTGAGGAGGAGACAGATTATTCTGTTATGTTTACGGAAACATCAGGCTTAAATACTTGACTTAAGTAAGACAACTTTGTAAGACAATGTAACAAATGCACACTTATGTATACACTGAATTATTAACAATCAGCCAGCCAATAGTTACTTTTAATCATTAATCCATATTCGTAAAATTTAGTTAACACTGTGTGTGGGCTCCAGCCTGCTAGCAAACACAACATACCTGGGGCAATGATGGATAAACTCCCAGCTCGGCAGTCAAAAACTGTGCATTTCTCCATATGCCAGAGATGTTCACGAGTCACAAAATTAGAGTCCAAGTCAAGTCTCAAGTCTCCATTGTGGTTCCAATTTGACATTACTATTTATCAAAAATTTAATGACCTCTGTTTTTTTCTATTAGTAACAACACACAACAACAGCGTGTTCATGGAGGCAGCCATGTTTGTTCCGAGATGTGTAGCTTGAATAGATTGGTTGGATGTGACATCGCAGACCTCAGAATTTTAGACTTTGCAGAGATAATCAAATGCACCATTTCTAGTGGCAAAACAGGAAAAGCATGTTGTTTGTTGATATTGGCTGACGTCACGCTTCCCCCCACTCCAGGTCCTATGCTCTGTGCACAGCCACACATCGTGATGTTTAACACCTTCGCATGTGCAGAAATTTCAACAGAATCTTAAAGACTCTTATTGTTCACTGTTCCTAGTCAAAAAAATAATGAATAGTGAAAATGCATTCAGACACGTACACTTCCCTTGTATATCGCAAGCTATAACAAGTGCTCAAAACAGCCCAAGTTAGCGACTCCCAAATCATCAATTTGCTTTTTTTATATTACTCGCTTTGTGTGTAATTGCGTGCGCTTTGTATAGTGAGATTTTCCATTAAACGGTATGTCCACCTCTCAAAACTTTTTCAAACTTTGTTTTTCGCAAATGGCTGTGCCAGTAGTTGTTGTTAAAAGCATAAAATACTCTGATTGTCCCCCTCTTATTTGAGGCAGGTTGCAGAAAAATTCAAGCATTGGTGCTTAGCGATAGCAAAAGGGAATACGTTTGACCTTGCGAACAGAATGACTGTATTTGATCTTATTAACCTGTTTACTCTATTTGATCTTGATGGATCTTATTACCATTTCACAAAAGCATTATATGGATGACAATCTACACTTGACAGATTTAAGTAAAATCACCCCAAAATTAAAACAGCAGTGATGGGTTGCAGCAGCCATACTGTGAACACAGTATTCCGTGGATCTCTTTGCAAACCTCTCAGAAACATGGTATAGATCAGTGGTTCTCAGATTGGGTGAATAAGATTTTTTCTTGAATATTCTCTTATAAAGTTTACATTGTTTTTTCATTGTCAGCGTCCAGGTTGGGCAGTTTATTCAGTAACAGTCTGGTAGCTAGGTCAGTGAAATTTGTTGTGGGGAAATTTGTTAATTGTGTTGTATTTTTGGAGAGGTGTGTAGGTTAGGCTTGGGCGGTACTACTGTAATATTTAGTTGGACCTGCCCCACCCCGCAAGAAAAGGGTAATGGTATGAATAATTAGATACCACCCAAGGGGGGCTAGAGATAGAGGTTGGGGGAATGGGAGTAATGGTGGTTAGATAGGGAAGGGGGGTGTTGGGGCTGTCCAGGGAATATATCGTTGTCATTTTTGTCAGCTTCTTTTCCATTTGTATGCATACTCAACTAGTCCATAGCTATAATAAATATATTGTGATGCTGTGGGGTCCAAAGCATTGCACTACCCCAGTAATACCAAGCAGTACATTATCATTTCTCAACTCTTAGTGCTAAATTCAGCGGCAAAAAGCAAGTTTAACTCTAGCCCCCAGACGTTTCCTGTGCTTAATAATGCATTCTGTTTCCATGACGTTTGATAGAATGTGGTATTTACAGCTCTCAGGAAATATCCATCCATCTGCCAGTGATACACATACAGTATATAGCAGCTGAATCTTGGTTATGTGTAGCGAACGATAGTGGAAAGGGTCACCAAGGTAATGGCAAATAATGGCAGAATTTTCTGAATCAAAAAATTGAAACAGGAATAACTGAAAAAATAATATCAAATGTGATTTTGTTCGTAAGGTCAGAAAAATACTTGTTTGGATTTTTGACAAAAAATAGAAATTACTTTTTGGCAATTATTGCCCTGGCATGAATGAAAAATATGCCTGGAATCCCATAGGGATTAAAGTAAATGATGATTATAGTAATATTAATATTGGATCTTAAATTCAAAAATGGGTCTAAAGGGAGCGTAGAGGACAAGGTGGTGGTTGCAATAAGTCCAAACTGCTTCCAGGGATTTAATCAGTTATTGTGCTGGGTCTTTCATTAATATTCCCTTAAATTTAGTTCGTTTTCTGTAGGCATTATCTCTTACTCCTAAGGGAACATTTTGTGGCCTATGGCACAAATGATTTGTTCTATTGTGATCGATAACTGGGATCAGCTGCATTCAGTCAAAGTTCACAATGTCAGCCACTGAGTGGAGAAAACAAATAATGAGTGTGTTTAATGAATATAACCCTTTGTGATGAACTGTATATGAGGCAAATTTGACAGGAGGCCTTTCTCTTCTGAAGGACTGGACTTTGGAATCAGTTTTTCTCGAGTTAAAGCTATCGTCCTGTTTTCAACAATTTCCTGTGCCAGAAGGACCTTTGGTAAACAAAGCAGGCGTGGGACGGTACACTGAACACTCCCTTTGAAATTCCCCCAGTTTCCTCGTTTCTCAGCAGCCATATGAATGCACTTCTGACTCAGTCTTTCATAGGATGACCATGAATGTGTCATACTCTTGCAGTACTGCATGCCATAGCCACCTTATCCCTGTAATCTGTGTCATCCAGACACCATTACTTTTTTCCTTTTAAAAAAAGTAGTTTTTATTAGTCTTGGACACAAATACCGTTACAGAAACTGAAGGTCATGCCCATTTACAGTATTTCTTGGAGTTTTTTGGCTACTTAATTTGAATATACAATTTTTAAAATTTATTTTAATTAACCACTTATTTTGTATTTCTTTTGAAGAGCTTTTTTGGAAATTTAGACTGAGTACTAGTATTATGATTACTTTTCTGTTGACGTGTGATATGCAGTACATGTACAGGGGCTATATAATATTGCTTATATTCATTTAATAATACGTTGTGGTTTACATATAGTGTCTCGCCTGTAGCTCAGTGCCTAACCTGTTGTTTACTGTGCGTGTGACGTATTTCACGGTGGTAAACTGCACCCCCACCATATCTCCTCAGTATTGTGTATATAATTAGTGCATCTGTGACTAACAGGGACTCCTGTCTGGCTAGCTTCCCCTCGGAATATGACTGGGCAAAGGTTGTTCATTGTGCATTCAGAGTAAAGTCCCACTGCAAATCCCCCTTTTACTCATAGTTTTAATCATAGTGTTTTAACAGAAAACACAGCTTTTTGATCATTTTGACAATATAACCTGGATAAACGGTTAGAAGATGGAGATGGATGGATACGAGTTTGTAAATACAGACACTCCTCACTAAACGACCTACCTGTTTAACAACCATCTAGGCTTAGGATGTACGAGAACTTTGGTCGTGGAAACGGCAGTGAGGTGCCTCAGCATCAAGCATCTCATCTCGCGTCACCTTTCCTCAGTCTGTCTTGATCCTGCAGTCGGTCAGTATTCACTAAGCCAGCATTCACTATTTCCAAGACTACATAAAAACCACGCATGGTTTCAACAGGTTCATCAAAGATTCAACCTGCATAATAGTATTAGTGGTGAGGAGAGCACAAACGTAGAAGCAGTGGAAAATTTTGTAGCCCAATTTGATGAGAAAGGCAGTTACCATCCGATTACCTGTATTTACAATATGCAAACCTAAGTAATTTATATATGAGCAGATCTCCTCTATTCTATTACAGTATTCAGTGCACTACTGTATAAACATTTATAAATGTACTAAAAATGTTATGTGCAACGTTGACAGTAAAACAATATCTAAAGATGGTTGACTCAAACCCGCTACCAGTACAGTACCCCTGAAATACCAGTAAGGGGCGGCTCCTCCATTCATCGACACATTCGCTTAACAGCCCAGTCATAGGAGTGGAACTCGGTTGTTAAGTCACGAGTGTCTGTATTCAGTCATTTTCAGTAAAATACTGAATATCTGTGCTGTTCTTCCCATGCAGGCTTTTGGTTGGATCTCCTTGGAGTGGCTACAAAGCAAACAGGAAAGGGGATGTTTATAAGTGTGAAATCCCTGGAACCAAAACAATCTGTGAGAGACTCAACTTGCAGAGTAAGTTGGTGATTGCAGAATCTCATATATGTACAGATGAAGACGCCTTTTTGCTTCCCAATGAGGCCTTACATTCTCATTTCGTTCACTTAAGACTTAGGTGAGTACTGTTTAAATGGGTATAATTAGCTTGTAGCATGCTACTTTTCCATCTCCAGACTCTGTCACCATTTCATCCGTCAACAATATCAACACCAACATGAGCCTTGGATTGACTCTTCTGGCCAAAAATAATGGATTTCTGGTAAATCAGTCATTTTTATGGTTTCCTTTCGTTCTGTTCATACAGGATATTGTTTTCACAGGGGCGAACTGAGCAAACAGTTTCGTAACCTTACAGGTTGCTTGTTCATGTCCTCCAGCCCTGTCTGAGCAGAGTTTGCATGTTTCTGTCTGTTTTCCTCATTTATGTCCTGTAATTTTCTCCAACATTCCAAAGAAATGCACACTCTAAATTGGCCTATATGCAGATATATCTGTGACTCAGTAGTGATGTAGCATTCTTTATATAATATGTGTGCTGTGACTGGCTTTGATTATTGAATGGGTTTCTTAATTTTCAAAATTTTAAAATTAAATTTCTCATGGTATTGTTAGTTTTAAAATATTGTTCTTCCACTGGAATGGAAGTATTTAGTATTTGTATACACTGGTACATTTCATCAAGATTATTTGGAAGTCTGTTATAATGATAATGAGGGATAATTCAGCCATAATGGGCCAGAATAACGAAAGGAGGGGGTGTGAAATATGGGGGAGGATGAGGCCTTTTCTGGGATGCATGGGCTCCAGGGACGAGACCCTCTACTGACCTTTAATCAGCCATTGAGGAGATAAAAGCAAAAACTGAGGGGAAACCTGGAGCCACAGCCTGTCTCAGTGATTATTTACTTTGTTTTGTTGCTGGTTTGTATGTTTTCATACCCATTTTGGTCCCAAGGGTGCCAATAAACCTGCCCCTGTTCCAACCGTCAATCTCGTAGGTTAACATTTCCAGAAAGTAAAAATCCAGACTAACATTTTGTTTCAACCAACCAGCTGAGTACTCTGTGACTGTTTTATACTGAACTGGTTAATTGAAACAAAATCTTGGTCTGGATTTTTACTTTCTGGACCTGAAACATCCACTTCTGCCCGTGGGCCTCTACACTGTCAAAGGGTGAATTCTCTCTGCCACTCTAGACCTGCGGTCCTCTCTGGGCACAGCAGTGTGGCAAACAGTATTTCAATCCAGGAATCTGCACGGAGGTGAACTCCCTCTTCAAAGCGCAACCTTCATTTTCTCCTGCCATCCAGAGTAAGATCTTCATGCCTTTTGTTTGTTTGTCTCTTTGTCCATCATGCTGTCTGTATGCGATAAAAATTCAGAGATACAAGAGATACATATGCTCTTCAATATGGAGCCCTCAAAGTACCAAAAAATGGTATCATTTTATCTTGGGAGAACATCTTGTGTAAACACAATATCATCTTGATCAGAGTATTGAGCATACTTCTGTGAACACCGCAAACACAGCTCATAAAATTCTACTTCAGCCTTAAGACATTCTTGTTTCACTGTAATAAAATATTCAGTGTTCTGGCTGTAATATGTTTTAACAAGCGCAAGCTAGGCGGTGTTTAAGCACAGATTATTGATGTCCAGTGCACAGACAACAATGTACACCAATCATTTTTGAGATTCAACCTCTTTCACTAGTTGTGTTTAATCTTGTAATCTTGTTAATAGCTACACAAATGGTTCAGCATTTACAGTTAATGGCAACTATTACACACCCCTTGCATTTCCAGATTTCTTTATGGGTGAACTATAATTTTTAAATGTTGACGTGCACATCACATTCAGTGACAGTCATGTGCCCTGAGTGTCCAAATGATGTACTAATACAGTACAGTAATGATGTTATAACTGCAGTATAGAGCAACAATAGACAGAGATGTCAAGTTAAGTGTGCTTGTCTGTGGGGGACAATGCACACCTCTTGGATTTTCAGATTATGTATTTCCATATATAATTATTACTAATTACCATTTCAGTGCACATTGGAATAAATAATTGGGCTAATAACTCAAAAACTAAAGACATGTCTACTACATTATGTTTTAAGCGGTTCATTATGGGAAAGTGCATCAAGTGGTCATTTATTGCACAATGGGGGGGGGGAGCTATTTCTTCAGGAGCAGCGGTTGGATCCATAGTTTTAAAGGTTTATCTTGTGCACAAGATAAAAAAATAAAAATAAAAATACCATTTTTCAGAACTTTGCAGGCTCTGTACTTTTATATGTGTGTTTGTAAATGTATATGCACATGTATATGTATGCATGTATATAAATATATGGTTACATTAAGTGCACTTTTATAATTCATTCATAGAACATTCATAAGCAGCATGTAAGTATACCTTAACACGTTTTAAAGTACAGTGGTACCTCAGCATAGCTGTCAAGTCTCTCGTTTTGGCCGGGAAGATACCGTATTTTACCCCTCTTTCCCGCCGTCCTTCCGTATTAGTATTTTCCCGTAAATCTCTCGTATTATAATATCATTTAAAAAAATTCCTCTGCCTCTTCAAACTGAACTGTCAGTAGCCTCGCGAGAACTGCCACCTGCAGTAGTCTGCAGGTCATTTACAACATTAACCAGGTCATAAATGCGGAGGTTAAAATGGAAATGCTGTGTGCCAAAAACAACGTTACTTTCACCTTCTGTGACGACTTCAACAAGGATGTAAAGTCTGCAACAAATCTGTATAATAAGTCATTAGTGAATGCCAGAGAGCCACATGAGTGAACATGAGAGATGACAAGAAAATGTGTAATGAAAATAAAATGTAAATGACAAGTGGTTATTTTAGATTTCTTGTACACCCGTCTTAAAATGTAAGGGATACTGGAGCTTGGTTGGGGTGGTGGGATGGCTTGTGGTGGGTGCTGGAAAATTTCCCTTATTTTCAAATCCAAAACTTGACAGGTATGTACCTCAGTTCTCAAACTCATTAGAACTCGAATTTCTTAAGTCGAACCAACCTGTTCGAAAAAAAATTACCTGGGGCTCGATCTGAATCTCAGAAGTCGAACCGTGAACGCCGACCTAAGAATTTGTACGCGCAGCACGTCTCTCAGCGGAAACAAAGGGTAACGCTACAGTCTCAGCCTCGCATTCACTGTGATAGCATCGTGCATGTTTACACAAGCTGAATACATATATTTAGACAGTAAAAATACATTTAGACAATGATACAGTAACAGTAATTATTATACAATAAAATACATTTAAAAATAAATATTTCTTTATTCATTATTTTAATATTAATAAACCATTAATACATTTAATTATAATAATATTGTTGGGCCGAGTGGGGAGGAAACTGAGACAAAGGCGCAGACGTCATCGGGGAATACGGGGTTTAATTACAGGTAAGGCAGGCAAAACGCAGACGGAAAATACAATAGTGAACTGGGGAAACAAACTGAAACGCGGACGAAATACAGAGGGCTAATGAAAACAACCAGAAACAGCTGATCACACGGGGTTAACGAGGGAGCGTGGCACACGGAAGGAGCGGACGATCGGGGCAGGACACGTCGGGTTTTTTTTTTTTTTTTTTTTTAATTTACACATTGTTTGGATACATTTATTTTCTTACTTTACAAATTACTTGTTTTGATATATGTGCTTAGATGTGTTTAGTACAGTATATGCTCTTCTGATTTTATCCGGTTCATTTTGTGTTTAAATGCTAAAAAAAAGAACATATTTAGGTGTAATTTTTTTGTGGCCGGGAACCAATTATTTGGTTTTCCATTATTTCTTATGGGGAAAATTCGATCAGAACTCGAACTTGTTAGGATTCGATCCGGAGTTCTGAACGGATTAAATTCGAGTTCTGAGGTACCACTGTATTGTATTTGTAACATTTTCGATGAACAAGCATCTTTAATTTACATTAGTAAGACAACATAATTGTATAATGTAGTTAACGTAGTTGCTAACTACATTAGCTGTCATATTTTACTCATTGAAAGTGTTATGAATGCAATGCGTTAAGACATGTTAAGGCAAACTTCTGCCCTGTTCTATGAATGCATTATAGATGCATTATGAAGGTGCTGTCAATGTAAACATTACAAAATATTTATATTTTAACTTTCATAAATTGGATATTTAACATTTAGTAGGCCTATATGGTTTATTCTGTTACAAGATGGATGGAATTACATTATTATAATTTTTTAATTTTAAATATTACGTTTTTAAATCTACTTAATCTTACTCAATTTGTTGCCAGGTTGCGGAGGTCCAATGGATTTAGTAATTGTCTTGGATGGGTCAAATAGCATTTGGCCGTGGGAACCAGTGTTAGAATTTCTTAATGAACTTTTGAAGACTGTAGACTTTGGTCCGTCTGGCACTCAGGCAAGTATTTTATATAATTCATTTCATAATTCATTACAGAGTATTTAAATTGCTTTTTTGTGATTTTCAAAATTTCACAAGTATAAAAAGTTTTAAAAGCTACTATGAGTATGCATTTATACATGTATGTATCAGAGATGGGGCCTCAAATTTGCGGCTCGGACTCAAGTCATTTAATTGACTTCCGACTAGACTTGCTACTTGGACTTGACTCCTTCTCCTTGATAGCGACTGGTAAACAATAAGAGTCTTTCTTTAAGGCTCTGTTGAGATTTCTACACATGCGAAACACTTACTGTACAACTCTTTACCCCGACCTTCAGAACTGCCGTAAACGTGGAAATGAGGTGCGCTGTGAATCTGCGGTCCATTACTTTTTTTCAAGGACCCGGATGTGTGTCACATTAGATTGAAATTGAATTTGCGAACTGAATTTTTCTCCCCAAACCGTAAAGGCGTTAAACACAGAGCATAGAAACTGGAGCTGGAGAAGCGTCACGCCAGGCAGAATAAAAAAAAGTAAACAAAGCGCGGGATATTCTTAGTTTTATTCAGAGTATTATTTTATGTTAGATGAAAAAGCTTAGAAATCAGCATTGCTTAATCTGTGTCATAAATCATATTTAGCCTGCAAGGTGGTGTGATACAGTGACACAGATCGGCACAGATTGCCATAAATCTGATAATTTAGCAGGTATGTCCAAAAAACGTTTCCAAGTCAAACTGTATTTTCTTAAGTCCCTGCACCTTTTCATTGTACCCCGCGTACTTGTAGTGTTATATCTTAAATTATTCAGATTTCCATCACGGATTCAAATGTAATGGTTTTAAATTAAGTAAAAACATAACAGCAGCAAATAATTTGATTGAACGGTTACATCCCGTGACTAAAGGTGCAACACGACTGCATACATTAATTTAAGTTTTTAACATGTCGGTTGCGTGTGTGTGTGAGCGGGTATACCTTATGGGGACACAATGTCCCCACAACGTTATGAATACCTGTTTTTTTTCCCTTATGGGGACCAGTTTGCTGTATTGTATTGTACTTATGGTTATGATTAGGGCTGGTAGGGGTTAATGTTGTCATAGTTAACGTTAGCAATTTTCCCATAGAAATGAATGAGCAGTCCCCATAAAGATATGTTTACCCGACTTGTGTGTTTGTAGTTGATTGTTGTTGCCAAGTTTGGACCTTCTTTGGCCTATGTTTGTAACTGTTCACACTAAGGTTTACCTGTTCTTATGTGTTTTTTTTTTCCCCCAAAAGTATTTGTTTTAAAGTCTACATTAGAAAAGTACTTAGGTTCTTACAAAAAAAATATTGCTTCAAAGGCATTTGAAATAGCAGTTACTTTGAAAATGTATAAAAGCCTAGGGAACTATGAGACGAGCAGTTTCTATTCAAGTGACGATTCCCATTAGTCGCATCAGTTACCAATAGAAAAAAACAAATTGGTGGTTAATTTTTTTTTTATGAATAGTAATGTCAAATTTGAACCACGATAGAGACTTGAGACTTGACTCTGACACTAATTTTGTCACTCCTGAACATCTCTGGTATGTATGTGTTTAGATAGACACCCTCAAATATACATGTGAGTGTAAATATTCCTGATGGCAGTTTGCACGTTTCTTGCAGGTGAGTGTCGTTCAGTATGCAGTCGACTCGGCTTTTCAATTCCGATTTAATACGTACAAAACCAAGGATGAGATGTTGGCTGCTGCAAAAAATATAAAGCAAATGCAGGGAACATCGACAAACACATTCCATGCTATTGATTTCGCAAGGTAAGTTCACCCTTCCAGCGTTCGATATAGAATAAGCTTTATTTTGATCATCGCTTCTCCATTGCCTGTACATTTAGTGGCCGCTTAACAGGTGTCCCTGCATACCTGTAAGGACCGCAAGCCTTTGAAGTCTGAACATTTTTTTTTTCACCCGACATAAGTTGCGTCTGCTACAATTCTGTAAATTCAGACCCTATAGTGTGTGAAAGATTGCAGTTTCTGAAATTCCACCACGTCCGGTACCAACGGTTTTGTCATGTTTAAAGCCACGAAGATCACACGTCTTGGCTGTTCTAATGCTTATCCACATGAAGCTCTTGACCATAACTGCATACTGTATATATTCAGCCAAATGATTTGTTTGGGGAAGCAGGTTGCTTGAGTATAACTACCGGTAATATTAGTAAAAAAAAATACATTAAATACTTCTTCTAAATGAACAAATGTGTGCACCTTTGCTTGAATTGCTAGCTTGATATAAATGTAAATGCTATATATTAGTTATCCAGGAGTGTTTCTGTATCTCTTTCCTGATTTGCTACTTTTACCCTTTCATAGTTTTTGGATATTTTTACTGCTGGTGAATCAGGTTAGGTAACCAGCTTAAAGGTTTGGTTAGGACCCCTCTTTGAACTAACACCTGGTTCTAATACCCTAAGGGCATGCCCACTCATCAAGTGTAATTTGTCTTTGTCAGGAAAGAAGCATTCTTGCCTGAGAACGGAGGTCGGTCTGGGGCAAATAAAGTACTGGTGGTGGTGACAGACGGAGAATCTCACGATAGTAGCATGTTGGAAGATGTCATTGTGAAGTGCGACCAGGCCAAGATCACTCGCTTTGGCATAGCTGTACGTAAGGAAGAATGAAGATCTGTACAAATTTTACACAAATTCCTTTTATATAAACTTTTTGTGTGTTTTGGATTTTATGTCATACATGCCAGCATGTTTTAATTTTAATTTTTTAAAATTCATTTGTCATTGCCATTTCAAGGTCCTTGGCTATTACTTAGATAATAACATGGATACAACAAAATTGGTTGCAGAAATCAAGTCAATTGCCAGTAAGCCGGAAGAAAAACACTTTTTCAATGTCTCTGATGAAACAGCTCTTTTAGAGATTGTAGGAACACTTGGAGACAGAATTTTCAACATTGAAGGTATGCTCACTAGATTGTTGTTTTTTTTTTAAACTACTTGAATTGGTAGTGAATGTTTTCTAATATCATTGAGCATAAAAAGTAGAGCTACAAATGAGCAGTTGTCATTTTTCCATCAAAGGGACGGGGAAAGGAGGGGAAAATTTCCAGATGGAAATGTCCCAAGTGGGGTTCAGTGCTCACTATTCCAGTAAAGAGGTATGCACTATCACATTTAGCTACATAATATCGGGACTTTTTAGTTTGTAGGACTGCTATGAGAGACTAAAACCTTTTTTGTCCCCTCTAAAAGGAAGTACTGATGTTGGGTGCTGTTGGCGCATATGGATGGAATGGCACTGTGGTTCACAGAACTGTCCAGAAGTTCCAAATATTCCCTAAAAATGCATTTGAAAATGTCTTAGAGGACAGAAACCACAGCTCATTGCTAGGTGAATTTGCATTAATTTGCACATAGTCAGTATTTTTTAGTACCTGTTATTGCTTTGTGTAAAACCACCTGAGATGATGAATATTTCTTCTAAAACCTTTGGTATTCCTGTATAATTTTGCCAGGCTACGCTGTGACAACACTAGTTGATGAAAGTGCCGAATACTATGTCGCTGGAGCACCTCGTTCGAATCATACTGGTCAAGTTGTAGTGTATACCGTATCCAGCATAGGGCAACCCCACGTATTAAATTCACAGAGAGGATATCAGGTAAAGTATGAATACTTATAATCAGTTATTATTTTAATATTATTACCATAAATACCATGAACCATAAGAACTAACCTTCTAATGCATATGGAGTGTTTAACAGTAGCTAAACCTTTATACAGTATTTACATCTGAAACCCTTTTAAAATACCTTAGTTAATTTGAGCTTTGACAGGAAAATTTTGCAGATATTTTTGTGATGTATTTTTAAATCAAGTTGGCCAACAAATGTGAACATCTAGTGCTCTGTAAATCTCCCCTGTACTGCCTTTTTTTAAAAAAATTATTTCCATTGAATACATTTGGCATCAAATACCATTCTCTACTGAAAAACAGATAGGATCTTACTTTGGTGGTGTACTGTGTCCTCTGGATGTGAATAAAGATGGAGTTACAGACCTGCTGCTGGTTGGTGCTCCAATGTTCATGAGTGACCAGAAAAAAGAAACGGGCAAAGTGTACATATTCACAGTCACCAAGGTAATACAAGTTTCTCACTTTCTGAGGCAATGGTTTTGCTTTCATAAATGAAGTTACCTGTGGAACCTTTGAAAAATAGCCCACTTGTCACTTCTGTTAATATGTCTGTGCATGTGTTTTGTTAAGGGCTTCATAAGCAGTGATGGTTCTCTGGAGGGGCCTTCCCAAACAGAGAATGCTCGCTTTGGGATGGCCGTAGTGTGTGCACAAGACCTTAACCAAGATGGTTTTAATGATGTTGTGGTTGGTGCCCCACTGGAGGATAACAATAGGGGCGCACTGTACATCTTCAATGGAAATCAGAAGTCCATAAAAAAACAGTACACACAGGTAAAAAAAAAAAAAAAAAAAAAAAAGCTTCACTTTGCAAAATTATGTTCGTACAAATGGATTTACAATATGGTGTTTTAGTAGTCAGAAAATGAAAATATATTGTACTTTTGTAGTTTCATTTTGTAAGAAAGATGTGTATCTTAATACTACACCCCTCTGTAAAAAGTTCTCATATGCATTTAATTACTGACTATTTGGTGACGCTTTACATTTGAACTGCACCTTCATTATGCCGTTATAATGCATTTGTAGAACATTCAGTGCTTCTTAATGTACTCGTAGAACATTCAAAAGCAACATGTATGTATACCATAACATCCTAACATACCTTAACACCTTTATGTGTTAACGAGCTTCAAATTCAGAAAACACTAATAATTTATCAAACACAGATTCTGAAAATGTACAGTGAATTAATAGATGCATTGTAATTGCCAGACCCTGTGGAAATTTTAAAAACATGCGAAACAAAAAAAACTCTGCAAATCTGCTCACAACACAACAGAAGTTTCCAGGGGACAATGAAACTAAACGGACCATGCAGAGGAGATCGAGGGACAGTTCCCAAGCTACGGATATGTTCCTCATGTGTTAACAGAAGCTAGTTAGGAAGTTTTTAATCACAGAATTGCGAAGTCCAGTCCACAGACAATGATGCACACCGATTCCTTTTGTGGTTCAAGCCATTTCACAATTTATGCAAAGTCTTGTTACAGCTGAAGTTACTTTTTTGCTATTAACAAGATATTGGGTTAGCATTTTGGGTTATTGGCAAGTGTTGCACACCCCTTAGTTTTCCAGATTTCTTTAGGAGTGAATTTGAATTTTTTTTTTTATGTTTAAATGGGTTAATAGCACTAATACCGAACAAGACCGGCACCTCTAGTAAAGTACGTGTGCTTTGATCAGTGGATCCTGGGGGACAATGCACACTCTTTGGGTTTTCACGTTATCTATGTGTACAACGAGTACAATAAATTCTTTTTAAAAAAAATATTCTGACTCCAAGCTAATTATTTTTTTCTTTCTTTTCCTGCTTTGTCCAGAAAATTCTGGGTTCTGAACTGGATCCCAAGATGCAGTATTTCGGAAGGTCTGTGAATGCAGATGGAGATTTAAATGATGACACTCTTCCTGATGTGTCTGTTGGAACTTACGGAAAAGTAATTCAGCTGTGGTGAGTTAAATTTTCATTTTCAGTTTTTCTTGATTCCTGATGTAATCTAAAAATTTTCTTTAGAATTTACATAACCAAGATTCAAATATTTTTTATGGCTGGAGACTTTGGACTGGAGCTGAGACCTATTTACTAATGGGAAGCAAGTGCTTCTTGTGGGTGTCAAATGCTTATAGGTCTTTTAAGACTGTTAATTGTTAACAGAAATCTCTTGTTTTCAGGTCAAGAGGAGTAGCTCGTGTAAAAACAAATGTCAACTTCTCACCTGACAAAATCAACATCTTTAATAAACCTTGTACTATCAATGGGAGAAAACTTTTCTGTTTCAACACCAACATTTGCTTCAGTGCAACATTTATGCCCACAACTACAAAGGGTCCTGTGGGTATGGGTAATATTTTTTTCATCTTTACTGGTATTTGGTTGGTTTTTATATTTGAATGTTCAGCTGTATGCCCTCAGTTCCTGCTACCCTAGATACTAGATGTCTCATGGTCTTCATAATTTTGGTCCACTCCAAGTCTGGGCAAATGCCAACCAGTCAAAATCTTTTTTTATTATTAAGATGGATTTTTGAAGACCTATACTCCCCACTGAGCAAAGATATGTCTTTTGAACGTTTTGTTGGACATTGAAAAGATGTCCCCTGAGGAGCCAGAGTGAAAGTTTTTATGACGTCTTTTCATGATGTTTTACTGAACATCCAATATTTGGTCTTGCACATCCATGGACACGCAGGAAATTTCCTAGCCAGTCATTCAAATATTGAACTGCATATCTGCATTCAAGTGAGGCCGTAACCAGAAGTCCAAAGACATTCAAATATGGCCCTGGATCAACTGATGTAATACAGACATAATCTAGAGGTTTCATGTTTGCTGGGCCAAATAGGGCCTCCTAAGCCGCTATAGAGGATCCTGTGGCCCAACCTAAAACTGCAGCCAGGTCTGTTTCTTACTTTTTCTAAATTTCCCATATGCCAAAAAAAAATGTCTTCTCACACTTGCAGCAATCACATATAATCTGACTCTGGACATGGATTTGCAGTCATCACGTGTGAGCTCGCGAGGGCTCTTCAGCGTCAACAATGAACGGTTTCTGAAGAAAAACCTCAATGTTGACAAACAGGATGTCTGCGAAACACATGAGGTTTATGTTCAGGTACAGAAATTGGGTTATGTCCGAATAATGTTCTCATTTTGTATGCATCCCAAATTTAACAGCAGTTGATTTATCAGTTATTATTTTTTACAGTAGTGAGACATAGTTGAAATGATTTAATTAAAAAAAGGTTAATAGATTGTGTATCGATGTATACGAAATAAATTGATTACCAATGTGATATATTAAAGGTGGTTATTTGAAAATAATTTTTACCTGTTCAACTTTATTAATAACACTTAAACACAGGAAGCACCTGACTTTGTGAACTCCCTCAGTCTGCGGGTAGATCTTGGTCTTCAAGACCCAAAAGGCAACCCTGTCCTGGATGCATTCAGTCCCACTGCCTCAGAATTCTTTGTGAGTTTTATTTGCAATGGTTGCATAAAATTCTATCTGTTTCAACTGTATTTATGACATGAGAAAAGAGGTCTCTATTTGGTCAGATTGTCATTCTGGCCAGCTGTCAAAGCAACATGGTTATATCATATAATGTCAAACAAGCAGGTTCTGTCAGGTGCCTGTGTGTTTCGTTTGATACTCCAGTGAGTTTTTAGCACTTTGGTTGTGGTTGTGATCTACCAGTGTTATTGAGCACAATGTATGAGTGTAAAACAACTTAAAAGTAAACCGATTATTTCACATATTTTAATATTTTGCTCCTCCTTAAATCTACGTATTGTGTCCCATTTTTGCTGACAGATTCCCTTCTCAAAAGACTGTGGTGATGATGATGTGTGTCACAATGACTTGGTACTGAATGTACAGATGACTGATGATTTGCCAAGGTGAGGTCTTTAAACATACTCTATTAGTGGGACAAGGCTCTGTTTACCTTTATCCTACGTGCTGAACATTGTTAAACATATCCTGGTTTCTGAATGTAAAGCGTCTATCAAACCTTCCACAACCTAGTTGGGGTGCAACACTGAGCACATGATCATACTGCATTACTGTTGTGTTTTGACTTTGTTTACAATGGGCGTATTCACCACTTTTATATATGAGCACAGTTGTAAAAATGTGTTGAAACAGCCAGTGACAAATTTTAGGTCATAAAATGGGCAATGCAGACTCCATATATCAGTTATTTCTCATTTAATAGCTGTAATGGAAAAATTGTATGTAGACATGACTAAATTTTTTAGCCCGCTACAAAATTCAGATTTCGTACTTCTATTCACTACTATTATTGTAGTAGTGACTGATGTTCTCTGGTTCTTAAATGTGTAAGGACCTGAAAAGGGGCTGAGTAAGGGTACTCACGGAAATTATGGTTAAAACCTTATTTTGCAGTGCATTGCTGATTAGCCAAAAGAACAAAAGACTTTCCTTAGATGTATCCATGGAGAACAAGATGGAAAATGCCTACAATGCCCGAGTCATCACAAGATACTCTAAAAGTCTGTTCTACGCTTCTGTGTCTAATCCCGTATGTATAATTTTAAATTAAATACATATGAAATCCTATGTTTTCCTTCTATGTTTCCTCCCATAGTCCCAAGACATGCAGGGAGGTTAATTAGTGTCTCTAAATTGCCCATCAAGTGTGTGTGTGTGTGTAAGAGAGAGGGCGTGAGTTTGTGCATGTATGAGTCCTGCAATGGACCGGCATCCCATCCAGGGTGCGAGGAGCCTTGTGTCCTGTGCTACCTGGGAGAGGCAACAAGCCCCCCAGACCAAGACCAGGATAGGTAGTTAGCAGATGGATGGATGGATGGATCAATGTTGCATTGCAATTCAAATTGTTCTTAAATGTATTTAAGATTAATTAAGATTTGTCTCATTTTAGAGCGATGGAACAGAAATAAAATGCACTGATAAGGATTACACTGTATCCTGTCAAGTAGGGTACCCTGTCCTCCGAACGGACCAACGGGTCAGTTCAGCACTGCCGATTATCCTTTCATACATTGTCTGGCTGTGACCCGGCAATAAAGTTTTTAACCCTTTTCTACTTCCTTCATACAGGCGAAGTTTCGGATCAACTTTGATTTTAACCTTAACGAGATGCAGAACAAAATACAAGTGGATCTGACAGCTGAAAGGTGACTAATTCTGCTATTTTTTCCCTTTCTAATTGCTTTGATGCCAGTGAAAAATTTACCCCTCATCAATTCCATTTTATGCCAACAGCGATGGCATAGAAGAAACACCTGAAAACAACAAAGCCCTCATCTCCATTCCTGTCATGTATGACTCTGAAATCATTCTGACCAGGTATGATGACTATTTCTTGGTAGCCTTTATTATTTATGTTACTTATGTCTATTACTTAAATTATTTGGTTCCCTGGGCAAGTGACAACCTGATTCTAAGGCAGACAAAAAGTACATATCTCTATAAAATATCTGCAAGTCATTTTGCTTAAAAGCAGATTTATGGCTTTTAAAGTGAAGTTTAGTTGGGAAAAATACTAATTGTTCCACAGAGAAGCAAACATGAAACCTTTTTATAATGGTGTTTTCAAGCATAGGGCACTCCTTTACCAGCCCAACGAAATGTGGAAATGATTATCATTAGCTTTGTTTTTCGCACTATTCTTATGTCTGTATATAGTTGGAGTGTATGTTTCACATATTTGTGCATCAGTGCTAACCACAACAGGCTAACTCTACAATGCGCCACATTTTATTCTGTCATAAAATTGCTTCAAAAAAGTCAGTTAATTATACGGTCAAGTATTTATAGCAGAAGCGTAGGCTGGAGTAAGATTAAAAATGTAAGCATTATTCATTTATTAGTAGCTTATTTTTTATAACTGCTAGTCACTATGTTTTTACCATGATGACTGGCAAAACGACATGCCCTTTAGAAAATATTTCATCCCTGTATAAAGACGGCTTTGTAACTGCATGGGGGAGGGAAGAGCAGAAGTATGAAATGTGTGTGACAGTAAGTTGGGTTCAGAAGGACACTAGTGGAGCCTGTGTTGTGACACAGACAGTAGATTCTTAGTGGACTCATTTATGCAAAGACCCTTTTACACGGTATGTAATACACAGTCACAATTAGACACTTTCACTTAAGCACTCTGACAAATACCACCTGCCACTCTGGGAATTTCAGCATTAATCTCTGTTGGCTTATCTCCTTCACTCCCTAGAGAGACAAGTATAAACTTCTATGTCATTGACGATCACGGCACAGTAAAGACTTTGATGAACAATACTGATGACATTGGACCAGAGTTCAACATCACGCTGAAAGTAAGTTAACATCATAACATCAAGATGCAAACTTACTACTAGAGAGCAGTTCTGATTACAAGAGGACATGCTGTTTATTTTGCAGGGTCTCTCAGTCCATGAGCAACTTTTCTGGTTGAGTTACTTTGGCTGCAGGGGTTGGGAGGAGACTGCAGGTCTTTTTTTGCAGGAATGTGCCATTGATAGTAGATGACCTCAGCTGACTTCATTGAAATGGAATTCGCTTTTCCCTCTAGGTTTCTACAGGGAATGTAAAGGTTGGTCTAACCTACCTCACAGTGTCTCTGCCAGACTCTACTCGGGCGGGGAATTATCTCCTGTATGTGACAGGAGTTCACACAGAACCTGTGAGTTTTTGCTTTTGCCTACTTTTCCTTCAGATTCCATACTTCTATTGTTTAAAACTACATACATATAACTGTAATATCCACAAAAGGTCTCTTTCAGTTCATATCCATGAGAGCCATGCCTGAATAAGTTGACAAAGCTTAAATGATTTATTTTCCATATAGCTTGTGAATTGGAACATAAATAAAGGCAGACTAATATCCAGACTACTCCTGCAGGGCAACACTGTGAGCTGTGATTTAGGTAGCGTGGTGGATCCACTGAAGATCAGGCAGAAGCCCCATACTGTTTCTTTTTCCCATGAGAGCTTCAGAAGAATAGAGAGCCTGGTGAGTGGCTAGTTGCTAACTATGTAATGGCATGAGAACAACTTTGTGGGCCAAGTACTCTTCCTGTTTCAATGATATAGTACTAAATTATTGTATTGCTCATTATAATACTTGTATTTTATAATCTACTTCTCAAATCTCATCTCATCTTTTTGTATAGCTGTTATTGTGTTTTTGTTCCCTTTCCTATTTGTCTTAGATTGGTTTGATTTTGAGCAACACTTTGGTTTGTTTTAAATATGCTATATAAATAAATTTGACTGATTGATTGATATTATATAGTAAATGTATTATACGGACAGGGAATTCATATGGCTATGGGAATGATCTGCTGCTGCTGCAGAAACTCTATCATTAAGATAACTCAAATTATTTGATGGGTCTTTTTTGAACTTTGCAGAAGCACTGTATGAATGATGTACTGGAACTGATTCAATTTTGAGACAGATCACCCTAAAACTTAAACTTAAATAGCCATAGTAAAAAAGGGGCAGGTTCAGACACTTAATCCCATTAAGACCAGGGGTGTCAAACTTCAGTCCTGGAGGACCGGAATCCAGCACAGTTTCTGGTGTACCCTCATTTAACTCACCTGATTCAACGCCTTGTGCTAATTACCACACAGCTCTTGAGCTGAATCATTTGTGGTGGAACAGGGAAAGAACTAAGCTACACAGGGCTCCGGCCCCCTAGGACTGGAGTTTGACACCCCTGCGTTAAGACGATAACTCAAAAAGTATTTGATTGATGTTTTCCTAATTTTGTAGAAGCATTGGGCGCTTTCACAACTCAGGAACTATTTTCAAGAACCAGAACCTTTTCTTGAACCCAGAACTTTTGTTGTGGACACACCACAGGTTCTCTGTCTGACTGTAATTCGTCAAAGGCAGTTCTGGAACCAATTTTTAGTCCCTATTGCAGACTAAGTGCTTTTCATTTAAACAAGAACTACTAGGAAAGAGCTTACAGTGATAACTTGCCAATTGGTTGACCAGAAGCACCTGCATAAACTTGTAAGTTATGCAGAAATGCATAGAAAAGAGAGAAGTAACAGAGCAAAAATTGAGCACATGGAATTATTTTTGTATCTGAATTGCATTTAATGCATCATTGAATATCTTTTTGCTTGCATCTACTTTTTACTTTTGTATAAAATCACTAGCGCTGGCAGTGAAACTTGCCAGCACCTTAGCAAAATAACGTTACATTGCTTTTTAATCTGTGGAAAATGAAAGATCGATCAGCCAAATTTAATAATGGATTAGAAACATGTCCCAGGTCATACAAATAAAACATAAATAAAAGGTGTGGGGTCCCATTTTGATCACAATCAATCCAGCCAATATCTGAAAAATAACTAACAAAATGACTTGTTCATACTGCATTGTTTTGGGGTAGCTGTGTAATTTCATATGAAGTTGCATGTGAAGTTTGACCTACTGTACAGGCTTTTTACATTTCCCACGCTTATTTAACATAAAGGTCCTAGTTCTTGTTGTGCGGCTTGAAAGCGACACATGAAAGTGGCCAGGAGCTACAAAAGTTCCTGGTTGGGACAGCCCAGGAACTTGGAACCAGGTCCTGGAATTGTGGTGTGAAGTGTGGAACTGATTAATTGGGTATATCTTTAAACAAATCACACCAAAACTGAAGCAATGGTACTTAGTGACAGCAAAGAGAAGGGTGACTGTGAACGAGAACTCAATTTGATATTCTATTTACTCTATTTGATCTATTGCCTCTTATTAGCAATTCACAAAAACAATATAACAGCTGTGTTATCAAGATGGGAACTGAACCTTCCTTTCTCGCCCTCGCTTGCCCTCTGTTGTAGGAGTTCCTATTTTGGGTCTCAGGTCTTAGGTCTATCAGGTGGTCTATCAGGTGTTGATTTTCATCTGTGTTAACAATCTAAACAAATTCTGTGGATCTTTTTACAAACTTCACTGAAGCCTTGTACAGGCCAATGATTGTTCAACTGTGGGGAGCAAGATGATTTTCTGAAGATTCTAAAATAAAGTGGTAGTTGGTTAGTGAAATTCATCATGCAAAACTCCATATTTATTTACTGTGGGGGAATTTAATCGTGTCACATAGCATTATGGTGCTTTTTCCACTGCCACCAAGAACTGAGGCAAACCTTGAAGAGATTTGTTTTCTTTTGTAAATTGTATGTGACCTACACCCGTACTGATATGGCCCTGCTTAATAGCAGGACTGAAAATAGGATTAAACCTAGCTGATTGTGTTACCACCATCTACTTGGTTTAAATGCACAGATACTGGTGATCTGCGGCGCTATGCATGGATTATCTGAAAGGAAAAAAAGGCATATTCTATGTATTATTTATTATTAGTAGGAGCCTATCGCACATCACAAGGTATTGATGCATTCCCGTGACTTGCCGCTTTGAAAATTTCCATCCTCCTAGAGAACAGCCGAAAAATTCTAGAGAAAAGCTGAACGAAATGGATTCGTAATGCAAATTTACACAAGCTAACACTAATTCCACTAGCATTTGATGATAAAACACAGAACCTTTCACAGACCTTTTAACAGAAATTAGCACATTGTAAATCATGGTATATAAGTAGGGTGATCAGATAATCCATGTCAGGGAGGACACTTTGAGCTACTTCGGGTTTTACAAACTACTTTCAAATTGAAAGGCTCCTGTGCTCGGCTAAATAGTTCAGCTCTTCTTGTGCTTTGACTGGTTTGTTTCCTTGACTGAAAGACTCATCCAGCTGTTTCACATTAGCATTAGTGACACATGCATGATTATAGGAGACTGACCAATCAGCACACAGCAAGAACTCAGTGCTCAAGTGAAATCCAGGTCCTTTTAATTCAAATGGTAATTTACAATTCCTGTCCTACCTCAGAGTGTCCTCCCTGACATGGATTATCTGGTCACCCTAATATAAGTCTCTTCGGTTTGACGTCATTGTCTTCGTGATATGGATCAGGTACGACCTGGTTCTTGTATGCCAGTGGAAAGACGCCATTAGTCCAAGTCAGTGGTGTTACATGAAAGAACAGGTGCAGATCTGGTGAACCTGATTATATTAAGACAAGTCACACAGTGTGCTCCAGGGTTGCCAGATAATTAGCCTGACCTTGCACTCAGACCCCAAGCTCCACTCTCAAGTGTGTGTGTGTGTGTTTGCGTGTTTGCATAGATCACATTTGAGGACCAAATTGTCCCCAAAGTGTAGTAAAACCTGAAATTTCCCTACTTTTGGGGACATCTTTTGAGGTCCTCATTTGGATAACCTCAGTTTTATAAAAAATCTGTGAATGCAATCAAAAAAGTAAAAATGCCAAGTCTTGTATTTGGGTTGATTACTTATGGTTAAGGTTAGGGATGGGTAAAGGTTAAGGGTGTCGTGATTGGGATTTGGGTTTTCCCCATAGAAATGAATGGACGGTCCCCATTTAGATAGGTACACCAACTTGTGTGTGTGTTTTTTAAGGAGAGTGGTTAACCTTCTTCTGACAGCATCCTTTCTAGTATTCTAATCATTGTAAATTTAGCGCTGCTTCAGTACCCCTTTTTAAACATCCCATTTCCTTTTCGCAAACTCCTCTTTTACAGAGCAAGTTGCACTGTACTGTAGGTTGTCTGCGGAAGATGTTTAGGGAAATTTCTAATAAATCATAGAAGAACCTAATGAAAAAATTTAAAGGTTCAGGTGAAAATCTGACATAACTCGACATAAATAATGAGTGTCCCATACATGGATATGACATACCGTGAATCTGAAACACTATTGTTCACTCTCTTTAAAATATTAAATCCCGCATATTTAATTTAAAAACAGGTGCTAAAATGGGCTGATTCATAAATCCTAGACTGTTATATAACAATCCTAACTGCACCCCCAGACTTAACATACACCAGCCCACTTTCAAGCTCAATGGACCTGCGCAACCTGCATCATATATGTTCTCTGGAGGGTCTTGCATGCAGTTTCCACTAGTGCACCTGACTGCAATTGATGTAAGGTTATTTATTACAAGTAGGCTAAGAAAGTAAGTCTTATATCCCATTACTTACATAGTTGGAACAGTTTAGTTGAATTATGTTTTATGTTGAATTATGAATTATGTCAATTATGTTAAGTTGCTAAAGTTGTTAGCAGATATGCTTGTGGGAAACATACCCAAGGTGGAACATGACTGTGGAGTCATAGCTGTGTTTCACTGTGAGCTAGCAATCAGAGCAGAGCTTATCAGCATATTAATGAACCCACCAAAAAAGGGAAAAGAGGCTTTTTATTCTAGGGCCAAATATTGGGGTTCTAAATGGGCATGTAAAACCAGTTCTGGGCATATTTCCAACCAAACCAAGTTCACATTCCTTCTATGTAGATACCAAAGAACAGTTTAAAATACTGGAAAAAAAAATATTATATGGCTACTTTAATATTTCTGTACAATATTCATCAAATCACAATGCATTGTCTCTTGCCTGCAGGACTGTACAAATGCTAAATGCACAAAACTGAAATGTGTGCTAACAAGTATGGAGACAAAAAAAGATTATTTTGTGCATGTTACAACGAGGATCTGGAATGGAACGTTTGCCTCTGTAAGTGGCCACAAAATCTTATTCCTGTTCTGTAGAACATGAAGTTTAAGACCCTTAATTAAGCCTCAATTGCTCCAGAGATGTCGAACCCTGCTTTCTCAAAAATGTATGTCACTTTGACTAAAAGCATATACTACATACTGTAAATGTAATATAATGTAATGAACTTAAATCTTTTTTTTTTGGGGGGGGGGGGATGCTGCCACACAGTCAACCTTCCAGTCTGTTAAGCTCATTCTGCATGCTGAGATGGACACTTCACAGCCTGATCTCCTGACCCTAATGCACAAGAAGCTGCCGGTATTCTACAACATTTCGTCACAACATGCCCCCTGCTTACAGTACATACTCACTTACATATCAGGGGAAAAAACTCTAACCCAAGATGGTTTTACACGATTTGCTATTTTTAAAAGTTGTTCACAAATTCTTGCTAAGCTTTCAAAACAATTAATGTACATTGCTTATTATTGTATTGAATCACGCTACAAAACCACGTAGCATTTATTTAAATGCAGTGGGATATTAATAGATCTGTGCCTCCCAAAGTGATTCCAGTTTCATTGAAATAAGGCATACTGTAACGTTGCTGTTTACTGTTATAGCTTTGAGCACTTTTACATGTTGCAAAGCATGTTTCACTGACATGCTGACCCGTGGGGTCTCCCAGTCTTGTTAGTAAGGGTCAAAGTAAGGGTGTCACGGAGTTTTCAATACTGGGGGGACACAAACAGATCCATTAAGTGACTGAGTCAGTTCCATCCTCTCTCATTATCCTACATGACCTCCTATGCATACCTATGTAAGGCTACCTGTCCGTTTCAATAAGGACTGCAAACATTCATTTATGTGTATGCAATTGAAATCGACAACTGAAAATAGATGAGAACTGTCCAGTAGATGAGAACTAAATTCTCCTAAACTAAATTGATTTATTTTTAAAAGCAAAATCCTGGAAAGAATTGGGTGGAACACCAGTTTTGAATATTAGGTGGGATGTGTCCCACCTGTCCCACCCAAGAGGAATCCAATGGCTGCCCAATGGAAGCCAACACAGTTCTGTCTCAAATTGTGTGGACAAATATGGCTTGCAAGCTTGTTTTAGGAGGGATTAGCCACTAATTATTCTCACATCATGAAGAGAATATCAACAAGAAGGGCATAAAACAGCAAAAATGTAATAACTGGCAGTGAAATGTAGGCAAACAGTTACATGTCTGTATGCAAATGTTTTCTTTTTAGGTTTACTCAGTTTATAATGCTATAACATTAAATGAACTGCCGTAGTGGAAAGCATACTCCTGTCCCATGTAATTTGTCCTGTAATAAGCATGACTCTTTATTCCCCCATCCAGCTTGAAATTACAATTATCAAGCCTGGGGAGGTTGCTCCTGTGCCCATTGGAATCATAGTGGGCAGTGTTATTGGGGGCCTGCTTTTATTGGCTGCTGTCGTTTTGCTGCTGTGGAAGGTACGGCTCAAAAAATAGTTATCAAATACAAAAAATATTTATGATTAAAACTGATCTTATATCATGTAGTGAATATTTCTGGTTATCAGATCTTTTTGAACTTCAGTTATTTGTATAATATTCAGATTTTCATGCAGAATGGTGGTGTATAACTCCACAGATTAAGACACTATGTCCATGATCACAAGGGTGCCAGTTCAAAATCTTGGCATCGGTAGAGTGATCTCATCATTGAGTCTGGGAGCGAGGCCCTTAATCCCCATTTGCTCCAGGGATTGACTGACCCTGCATTCTCAATTGTATATCTATTTGGATAAAAGCATCTTTAAATAATGTATGTAATGTACAAGAAAAAATAGGGTGGCTGATTGCTTGGTTAATGGGTCTTAATGTAACACACATCTGTCAAAATCCTCCCAGTATCCCTGCTGAGGACGCTGTTGCTGGTTTATATAGGGCTTCATGTGGCAACCAATCAGCTTAAAGTAGGCCTAGGCTGGACATTCAGAGAGCATGAAGAATTACTGTTCGCAATATTCATGAATTATTAAAATCATGTCCTCAGTTTAGCCGTAATATGATAAATTAATTTTATTTTGATTTTTCATTCAGTTGGGTTTCTTCAAGAAAACAAAGTATGATCAGCTGATGAAAGAGAATGCGGATGGAGAGCCACAAAATGGCACCGCAATGGAGAACCAGGCATGAGCTGTAGGACGATAAACAGGAATGTAAGTGGCACACACCATGTGTTTTAATCACTAAAGAAGGGCGTGGTCCAAGCCATTAAACATTTAGTGAATGGTATGGAAATAAGTTGCTCGTGTCAGCTCTGTTTCCAAAGTCTTGGCCAACTTTTAAAAAATGACAAGACATGCAGAGGCAAGTTGTTTAAATGCACTGCTCTGGAAAACAGTGCCATGTGAAAACTCTGCTGTCGGACAGAACTGGACAAGACTGATGACTGCCTAGATGGAATTAGGTTACATCAGCGGTGGACAAACCCAGCCAGCAACACACAGGGCACAATTACAGCATTATTTCACAATCAGCTTCCCCACCCAATGGGCTGAAATTACAATACTTGACAATATAATTCTTTAAACTTCATATTCTGTATTTTGTTTTATTTTATTTAACTTGGATGGGTTTTTGATTGTGGTTTGCTACTTAGGATTTTCTTCTGTTTAGTTTCGTTTGGGCATGCAGCCTCCGCAAGCTTGCACAAACACGCTTTCTAAATCTACAGCAAGCATTATAATGGGCTGGGGGATTTTTTCATAGACAATGGAAAGATAGGAGGTCGAGGCTTATTTTACTGTGAATAAATGATCCACAAGGTACAATCAACTGCACAAAGCCTAAACTTTGATTTTACATAAAAGCTAAATGTATGTTTGCAGTTACTAAAAGAGATGTTTTGATGGTGCTCTAATTTAAAATATAAAAGTCATGGTTAGCTGGACCCTGAGGATTGAGTGAAACAGGGAAGAGAATCCTTAAATTTTAAAAATTACACTCCCCTTCAAAGTACACAAATGCATCTATGTTCATATTATGTTCATATTTTGATTATGATGGACTTATTTGCTTCAGTATTAGCCATGGTATTTATTGTACTACCTAATCAACAGTCAAATGTAAGCCATTCATGATTTTGCAGTAGATTAAAATGCACTTACTTTTCCAACGAGTTTTAGTTAAATATGTATATAAAATTAATTTAAATTAAAAAGCCATGAGCTTCCAAAGAGATCTGCTGCTGAGAAATGGCAATGTAACAGATTGCAGCTTAGATATGGTTGCCATATAGAAAATGTAACCAATAATAATTTTATGCTGCATATTGTATGTTTCGTTTTGTGACGGGATCATTATTCAGGTTTAGTGTGTCTACTAGAATGCTGTAATGTACTTTAAAAAAAATCATGTAAATTGATTTAACTTGTATTTGACAGTTACATTCTTTAAACACCGATTTTGCTGAAAATTTGATTTACTGAGCAAGTGCACTGGATGCAGTAAACATTTTTGTATGCTTGACTACTGTTTAAATGCACTCTGCTGCTGTATACAGTTGTACAGTATAATCATTGTAACTACTATGTACAGAATGATTAAGCATCTTTATTTTGCAGTGTAATAACAGTATTTTAAGTCATGACAGCTACAGGTCTAGGTCTATCCCTTTTTAATTGTTTTGATTTTTAATTGATTGTTCTGCATTGGAAATATGTTTGATTTCACCAGATTTGTTTTAAAGGTTTCTACTTTATTAAAATCAAGTTTTCCTGTGGCATCTTTGTGTGTTGAGTTCACAGCTGGTTCCTCTGTCAAGTGGTTTGAATGACAATAATGCTGATTCTACAGAACATATCACTTTCCATCGTGTAGAATTACCCATTAACTTTTTATTATATGTAGTGGCATCTCAGTTATCAGTTCACAAGCCAAACCCATGCATGAAATGCATAACCACAGTGTTTCCAAAAAGGTTAATCTTTAACTCTGGACATAAATTATGTATTTGATCTACACCTTTATATTACTCCCTAAAAGTAACGCAATTCAATAATACATTCAACAAACAGCCCATAGTACTCCAATGTTGCAACAGATGCAGTCAGCTTTAGGCCGGTTGTGCTATGGGTCACTGTGTGCTTAACGACATACTTCAGCACAGGTCTGGAGGATACCGCTGTTTGTTTTCACATCCATTTCCTTTCCATACACATTCCTTGTTCTCCTTCCAAGAGAAATCCTCCATTTCATAGATTTCCTTAAAAAAGCGATATTAGAATTTCAAGGAAGGATACAAAACACTAGGGGCTTGATCATTTACAGAAAAGCATGTTTTTGATTTATACAACACACACATACTATGAAAGCTTTCCCATAACCTGCTACCTTATAATTCAACTAGTAGCATTACATATGCTCAACATACGGTATAAACCACTGCAAAAATATCATACTTGAACATGAGTTACATACACTAAATAACTGAGGAAAGACTACACTTTGATTTTGATTGCATGCCGAGATGAATTTGAAGCTGCTCACACAAATGAGTGAATGAATGAACAAATTAATGGACAATTTAAGATTTATTTATAAATTTTATTCCCATTAAACCTCTATAAATTACTCATATTTACTGGCTGCAATTTTTAAGCTGCGAAAATGTATTTCAAACTGCAGTTTCATTTAAAACCACTATATCGTATTTTTATTAATATTCCCTTGTGGAGTAAGAATGCCTCTATCTGCCTACTTTATACATGAATATGGATAGTTCAGTGCATTCCCTCCAACTATGAATACTTTTTTTCCCCCCATTAAAACACTATTTAAAGAACATTAAAGACTGATATTGTTGATGAAGTATTTTTCATTCATTAGTTACCGTACCTGGTAAGTTAGGTGCAGTAAGCAGGAAAACAGCTCACCTTTTTCCAGATGGGAACAGTCGATTTCAGTGCGTTTATGCAGTACTGCACCGCTTCCAGAGACTCTGTCCGATGAGGTGAGGAAATGCCTATGATTACACTGGCTTCACTCACAGGGACAACCCTGAAAACCAGAACCAGTCATTCCAGTGAACTGCTCTGATCAATATTTGATAGCCCATGACCCGACTGCGTCATATTGAGGAATGCTATAACAGCTCAGAGTATTACAACTGTTGAAATATACTTCACAGAACATATATAAATCTCAACTAGAACAACAACGGGGCATGAGAGGGATCAAAGTATTAGCTTCATGAGATGTCATCACCACTGCTCATTAGTCAAAGGTTTGCAAGGGGAAAGTCATGCCCACATTGACTAGAATGGCTGCATAATTAATAATGTACTCGATGCAGTTCCTAAGTATAGCATTAAATGTCATAACAAGAGATATCTCACCCAAGTCTGTGATGTACGCAAATATGTTGCACAGTTGACCACTTTTCTCTTATACTTTTGAATATTTTTTTCAGCTCTGACTCTGCCATTGAGACATATGCTTCATATTCTAACTGAATAACCTTCTTCCCCTCAAAACTGTTTCTTGTGGTTCCTAAAAAAAAAAAAAAGCACATTTAATATATTTAACATTTTAAATGTCTGCAATTTAGTCATTTGGATGTTTGCCCAACATTTAATGCAGCTCACAACTTTGTTTACCCAGCAATTTTCACTAAAGCAATTCAGCAGGACCCCTTCAGGAACAAGAATGGTCAGAAGTTAGTTTTTAATATTATTGTGCTACTTGTTACATGTCACCATCACTCACAAAAATCACATTAAATATATTTTGGCAAAATTCAGGCTGTACACCCACCAATAAACATAGATACTGCTCCACAAGATGGACATAAGACCGCGTCGGAAACAGCATCGGCTGAGAGCTTGTCATGAGTAAGTTTTATGAGGTCCTGGGGACCTCTGTTGGTACCATTCATATCTGCAAAAGACAATCAGACTCAGATTCAAAATGCATTTTCTTGAGAACACAAAATCATGCAATATGCAATTAACGTCACCCAAAGTGAATACGTACGATAGAACCTTGGAACCTGAACACCTCTTAACTCGACCAACTCGGACATCGAACAGGTCTGATTCATTTTTTTAGACTTAAACCTCGACCAAAATCTTGGGACTCAACTGTTCCTGCTAAAACTTGAATTTTATGCATTGAACTGCATAAAGACACGTTCAACTTTACCAATTCAGGTCGGTCAAGAAAAATCTAGCCGCAACTCGACTGAAAGCTCAGAACATGACAAAACAGACCTGCTAAAGCTTGTATGGATGTAGATGCATCTCCCCGTCCAAACTATAATCTCTCCATCCCTCCTCCTCTCCACCTGCCACTGCCAGTATGCCATCAGCTCACCTCAGTACAGGTAAAGTGCTTATAAATTGTCATTTATGTCATGTTTATTGCTTTCGTATGTGCACTTTTTCATGTGTGTATTAGTTTTATATTGTTTTAACTTTTTTTTGGGGGGGCTATGACTTTGACTGGCTATATTTACTTTAATATAAGCTGCACAGAAATGGTCCTCATATTGTTTTAAAGCTATTGTCCAGCTCTATAGATTGAATAAATAATTTGCCATCCCCATATGAATAATTACTATGTAATAACTGATTAAAATATTAAAAGTTCAATAACAAAAAAACCTATATTGAGTAGTTAAAACTTTGTTCGCTTAAATCTCAATACTCATCCAAGACACGCCCAATTTCAGTTTCATGAGTTACTCATGTGACCAAATCAGCATGCTAAGTTTCGTTAAAATCTGTGACGATGAGGTCTGAAAGTGTGATGATTTGACATTGAATGATCCTTTGGCCATATCGCCCACCCCTAAATACATCTACAACAATATGCATGCAAACAAACTAGCTTAGCCTAATATGGAGGCGGACTATGCAACTTGAAATAAATAAGCTTCTTATTAAAATTGAAAGAAATTTAGGTTGGCCTTTGCAGGCCTTAGATTCTAATAGGATTTCTCTGGGAAAATCAGCATGCACATTTATTATATAAGTGGTTAAAATTTCCCATACACAATTTACTTGATCACTTCTTTAATTTATAGATTCAAGCCATGAAGACTATATCAATTAACTGTATACCACGGGGGGGAAAAAAACACTCTCAGAGTGAAAATGACCACAGTACAGTTACCTCAGTATATGAGAACTACCCTCCACTGAGGGGAGGAATGACAGCAACTTCGTCCCCAGACTGCAGGATCACAGGCTGATTTCCCAAAACAACATACTCTTGACGCACTGCAAGGATAACTTGCTCACGTAACACACAGAGTCTGAAAAGACAGGAACCTTTCAGAAACAGGCCCAGACTCATAATTCCTCTGAGAATTAAAACACCTTCAGATGTTTTGTTTCCCAATACATATACAGCTCGTACTGGTATATACATTATTAATGCATACAGATACATAAAAGAGAACAGTTTTCATACTTAATTTCCTTGGGAAATCAAACTGCCATTCCACACCTAAACAGAGAAGTAATGTGAAATAATTTTGTCAAAATAAATCAAACTCTGTAGTACATGTACCTGGGATGTCGTCTCACTAGCTCCTCCCACAGCTGCAGGGACGTTAATACTTGAGGAACACTGATGTGCTCTGATCGAAGTCCTGTTATTTCAGCACTTCTAGCAAAATATAGGACCAAAATCTACAAACAAAACATTTATGTGACACGGTTGATATCTTACAGCATATACTTATCATTAATACTACAGCATTCACTTTTGTCATCTTTCAGACTGGTGTTAAAATTTCTCACTTCTTGTTTCCCTTGTTTGAATAAAAAACTAACTGTATCACAAGAAGGGCTGCAACAACTAACTGATAACGTTGATTGGTTGCATTTTTGGGGTTTTCTGCATGAATTGTGTATAATTACATCACTTAGCAACATTAATACTGATGTATCCTAGTGCATACTTCACTTTTCTGCATGCCATTACATTCCACGTACAGACTCTTGATAGGCCAAATGGCCTCCTCTCGTTTCGTTTGTATGTGCTACATTTGTCTGTGGACACAGACAGTCACAGTCGGGACACACATACAGCAATGATATTCCACTACACTGCCAGGAAAAAAGTACCAATTTCTACCTTTGAGGATACATTACTTGGCACTGGGGCTGTACCCTCAAGGGTCTGCTAACTGTACCATAGCTGTAGGTAAATGTACCTTTTAGTCTAATTTAAGGTACAGAAACAGACTCTTAGGAACATTTTTATACCATTGGCTTGACATCAATGTTGTTTGCACTTTGTGGAACAAATCTGTACCAGGGCTGTACCAGCAGAGGTCAGATGTAGTCAAGATTTCACAATGAAAATAGCTTTGCTTTTGAAAATACCATAAAACTTGGTAAAAAGGACAATTGTTGGCAAGTTAAATATGGTGGAGACTGTGGATCTTTGTTTCTATGCCACTTTGTCACTTTAAATAGAGATGCTCTACACAGTGTAAAGTTTCTTACACCTGTGACTTAATACCTCCTTCTTTAAGCATTTGCACTTTTCTTTAAACCCTGTGTTTTGGCCCAACAAATCATCACAAAACAACTGCATATGTCAATTAGCAACAAATACAGTATTTTCCTTTGAACTGTCCATAACAAATTTCATAGAATCTACCCATACAATGACTTCAGTTAAGACTTGTACTCTAATAAATAGCCCAAGGAGCACAGGAACACAAATACAAAAATTAAAGTATACTTTTACACATTTTTGCAGTAAATT